TCGGCGCGGGATGACCAAAGGTTACTCAAAGCTTCTCCGGCCTACCCATCCCCAACGGCTATTCCCCTCGATAGATACGACTTTCAGTCGTTGTCCGGGTTAGGAATTTCCAATTGTGGAACAGGATCCCCTTCAAGCCAGATCAGACTCTACCCGTGTCCAGAGCAATACGCACTCTCAACGAGCAACTGGTCCGACCCAATAACGCATTCCCCGAATATCCTCGAAACCCCTCCAGACGCCGGTCAGTTTCCGCCCAGGACTCATTACGAAGCATTCGGTAGCCATGCAGACATCTCAGTATCACCCAGTTACAGCCCGGTCATGGATTTTGGCGCGATGCATGATGAAATACCTCGCTTCTGGCCTAACACTCCTACCTCCGAAACCATGGCCGCGTCAGAAGGCTGGTCCAACGTGCAAGATCCGATAGAGGACGTATGGGAATCGTCTTTCCTGGACGAATCATCCAATACGATGGTCTCCAGGATGCCAGAGATCCCTCGACTTCAGATCAACACCGCATATCTGCATCCTCAACGACCGGATAACACCCTAACTGAGATGGACCCGAACAAAAGTGTTGCGCCGGATTTGGTCCCTGATGAGGCAATCTCAAAGTGGATCGAGAATGTTAGCGAATCGCCCAAGGGAGAACAATCCAGGATACCGTCAGCGAGCGGCTTAGAGTGTCCTACGTGTGGTGTCCGCTTCACACGACGCTCTAACTGTAAAGAGCATATGAAAAGCCACGATCCTAGCTACGTAAGGCCACATCCGTGTGAGACTTGCGGGCGGGAATTTAGGCGGAGGACTGACCTGAAGAGACACGTAGATAGCGTAAGTCACATCGGATAGAGCTAAGTTCATTACTAATAGAATGCGCAGATCCATCGGGGAATACGCAAATTTGGCTGTGAGAAGTGTGGTCGGCGCTACAGTCGACAGGACACATTGTCAAGGTACCGTATCTTGATCCAACACCAATGTGAATCAACGAACTCACTCTGCTACAGACATCAGTCCGACGGCTGCGATGGAAGAATCCGGAAGACACGAGCCTCCCGAAACGACACAGACGCGCCATACCCCACTCATGACTACTACGCACACTAAACAGCTATTTGACGGTTTATTTGCCTGCTCTAGACCATGCCTGCGTTGATCGCAGCTGGCCATGAACGATACGGCTGCATACTTTTGGAGAGGATCCACTGTATATTTGAAAGCATGACTACCCATGTATTCTTTTGTGTTTTCTTTGTATAAGCGCAGGGAGGCAGTTTGCTTTTGTTTTGATTGTTTATTTTCTCATCAGGGAGGCCTTGTCGACTTTTAGTTTTGCATATTTTTGGAATATCGCTAGAGATCCGTCGTCACCCAAAGGCGGCTTATAGAAATCAAGCAGCGCATGGCAGGTCCATGCCTTTCGTTTAACAAACTTTAGCCGCCACAAGTGCCTCTTCCGTCTCTTGGGCTATTCTGATTATTCTTGCAAGTTGTTTACAACTTACTTTTGTGGACCATAAAGTGGACCGTTTGTTTAGGTCCACCCAACAGCAGCAAGACTTTAGGCCGCATGGCCAGAGTGAGCTCACAGAAGCGCGTTGCAGACGACGATTCACATTGCTTGCTCCTGCAGAACAAAGCCTCACTTTCAAAATCATCGGGAGGACTTCCCGATTCCTCTTGGTCCGAACCTGTTACAAGACCATTGTCGGAAGAGATGGACCCCGGAAGAGGCGCTACTAGGCCGGCTGTTCCATTATTGATTCACGCAATCCTATGCCATCTCGCTATCTATGAAGGACCACCCAATGGCGCGTCAGTATCGACGAATATTATCGCCGTGCTAGGCATTAGTCGGGGAAAAAGTACGAAGCGGAGGAGCATGGACATGTTCCGGTCTTGCACGACTCGTTAACAAGGTGCAGCGCGGAAGCTTATACCAGCTAGACACACCAGGAACGAGCCAAGTGCTGCGTTAATTGCCCTAACAAACTTAATACACGCCGAAAATCCAGTCCACACGGAACGGAAACGGACATGGGGGGGCAGGATAAGTGGGTTGACGGGCCACTTAACGATGAAGGAGCGGCGCGAGGAACGGGTCCCTTGAGCACAAAGAAAGACCAGAGACACACGATAATAGGAATGCTCCATACGTCCGCGGGAGTTGTCAGCAAGGCCTACCTATCGTCGTACGCCATCGAGATAACCATTACCGTCCTGGGTTGGAGGACTATGGGGAAGTCGGAAGGCTTCCTAGCGGACCCATCGAGACTAACTGAAGGCACGGAAGTTGGAACATGCTCTGAGAGTCCTTCCTCTTTCGCGGTGATCCCCGCGGCGCAAGTGACTTTTATCTGCGCACAATGGCTCCAACTCTAAGTCGAGTGGAGCCAGGTCTCCGTATATCAATCACCCATCCGATAGTTCTGCGACCGGCTATGGTTCGATTCATCGGATGGAAGAATCCAGACCCCTAACGAGCTGGTTCAGGTTCAAACAAGCGCGACACGGACTGATCCTGCCAAGCGCACGGCACGGATACCTTGACCCTTCGGATGTTTGATCGACTGCGCTGTTGGTTTATAACTTGCGACTTTTGCTGCTTTGAGAGAAGTTCAGACGTTCTTTGTGTGACGTGTGACGAGTTCACCCTGATAATCTGGGTTGACGCGCCCATTTTTCCGTTATTGCAGCCATAGAATGGTTGAGTTAGTGGTCGGAGTGACCGTCGCTGAAGGCGGGGAATCATGAATGGCGCCATTTTTCTCGATACCAGAAACTAAGCGCGCGAGTGGAAATTAACTCCGCCCAGTACTGAATAGCTTCGTTCCAAACCCCGACACGGGAGCAGGTCCAACGAAGCTGCTAAATCAAGGGGCAATACACTAACAAGCCATCCTCATATTAATCGCGGCCTGGCAACTACTACGAATGGGGGCTACGATGGGATTAACGCCTGGACCAATCCTGACGCCTTGTGCATTGGACGCTTATTGGCCCTTGCTGGTTGTTTAGCGACGAAAGTGTTTACGACCTACTAATCGGACGTCCGCGTCCAACGGATCCGAAGAGAGCAATGAAGATTAAGCGACAAGAGCTGTCGTGTCGGACAACTTCCATCTGGATACCAAGACACTAGACAGTCCGTTTGCACTGTTGGTATGGTCTAGCACTACGAGTGTGCTTGTTGCGCGGCTTTCGCCCCCAGTGGTAGGTTGTGTCAGGCTCCAGCAATGAGCAGGGAAACTAGGACCCGACGGAATGAGACACCCCGATCAATTGGGGCCGAGTCAGTAAAATAATTAACCGGGTTGGTAGACGCTGTTGAGCGGCTGGCCATGTCCCACCAAGTTCTGCAGCTATATGCGTGGGCAAGAGGCTATGCTATGCCGACTCTGCAGGCCTGAAACTGCCGGACTGAAGAACATGCCTGCAATGCGCCTCAACGAACAGTTGTTGGTAATAATTGGCAGGCATACAGCGCGGAAGCTCTGTCAGCCCCATCAAGTTTGGTCTTAACAGGATGGGCAGGCATGGACATGCATTGTCTGTCCACCTCGATCTGCTTTGGACTGATGCGAACAGCCAGTGGGCGGTTGCTTTTCTAGCCTCTGTACCGACGGACGTTCAATCCAGCTGCTTGCAGACCTGGCCAGGGAAAGGGAGATGCCACGAGCAGGGTATTCGGCTGACATTGAGCGCATGATTGGCATTCTGCTCCAACATACCAGTTGGGGAGCGCCGGAGTATCCTGTTTTCCGAAGCAATAATGCCGCCAGCCTGAACAGTTTGTCCGTAGACTGCACAAGAACATTATAAGCAATAGGGCAGTGAATGACCCAATTACAAAAGGGAAATGATGAACCGCGCCGCCCGATGGGTTTTCTGCCACCGCCCAGGCGCCCGCTCTGTTCTCCCCACATCGAGGGGGTCGTTCTCCCTCCCCAAGATTTCACTCTTTTCGCCCCATTCTGTACAGCACCGGAGGCCTAGTCGATTTCTTCACTCTTCCAGCCAAATCATCAGGATGAGTGCCACCACTACCGTCACTGAGCCGCCGAGAATCACGGCTGAGAACGTCGCGACTCTCTTCCCCGAGGTTGACACTTCTCTTGCGCGGGAGGTGCTCCCCACTGCGACAAGCAATGCCTCCGCCCCGGGCGACGAGCTTGCCGGTTACGATGAGGAACAGGTCCGCCTGATGGAAGAGGTGTGTATTGTGCTGGACGACGATGACAAGCCGATTGGCAGTGCCAGCAAGAAGGCCTGTAAGTTTATCGTTCTTCACCCAGCATTGAAAGAGAGTCCATGCTGATGGCGCGACTCCACAGGCCACTTGATGACCAACATTGATCGCGGCCTCCTCCACCGTGCCTTCTCCGTTTTCCTCTTCGACTCGAACAAGCGCCTGCTGCTTCAACAACGTGCGACCGAGAAGATCACCTTCCCCGACATGTGGACGAACACCTGCTGCTCCCACCCCCTGGGCATCCCCGGAGAGACGGGCTCGCAGCTCGACGCGGCCGTGCTGGGTGTGAAGCGCGCGGCGCAGCGCAAGCTGGAACACGAATTGGGTATCAAGCCGGAGCAGGTGCCGCTGGACAAGTTCGAGTTCTTCACCCGCATCCACTACAAGGCGCCCAGTGATGGCAAGTGGGGAGAGCACGAGAGTATGTCGATACCAGTGATGAGCTTTTGGACAGGTGGCTGACCATACCCAGTTGACTACATTCTGTTCATCCAGGCGGACGTCGACTTGAACGTGAACCCCAACGAAGTGCGCGACACACGGTATGTGTCGGCGGACGAGCTGAAGCAGATGTTCGAGCAACCAGGACTGAAGTTCACGCCGTGGTTCAAGCTGATCTGCAACTCGATGCTGTTCGAATGGTGGAGCCACCTGGGCTCCGCGTCGCTAGAGGGATACAAGAACGAGCAGCAGATCCGGCGGATGTAAATGAGGCGAAGACGATGACGATAAAGTTGTGATCTTTCTGTATCTGCAGCCTGTACACGGTTACCATACATATATCCCCTGACATGATTCCCTGCAGCGTTCGATGGCCCTATTCCATACATACTATCGAGTGTAGTGTCCATTTAGCTTTGTTTATAATCACATCCCACTACCACTTCCCCCCAACCAACCCCAAAAAACATGCTCAATCAAATCAATTCGTACTAGCATCCGTAGCCAAAAACAACACACAACTCCCCAAAATCACCGTCCCGACCACCGTAAACGTGACCTGCGTCTTCCACCCACTCTGCACGAGCGCCGCCTTCCGACTATACTTCTTCACCGTCCGCACATAATTCGCAAACCCATTCACCAGACACGCAATACTCAATACCCAGAAGACAATCCCCAGCGGTAACGCCATCCGCCGCTCCAGCCCCGTCGGCGGCGTCTGGAAATGGAAACTGATTATGATGGCGATGGCCACGATGGCTAGGTACATTGAGAGACGGAGCCAGGAGAGAAAGGTCCGCTCGTTGGCGCAGTGGTCGCGCGCATCGGAAGTGGCGTTTTCGAATAGTAGCGTGGAGATGTAGGGGCGGGTTAGGAAGATGTGTGATTTTAGGGAGGTTTGTCTGGGAGATAATTATTAGTTTTGGAGGTATGGGGTGGGGATGGGAGGAAGATGAAAGCTTACTCGTCTGCGAGGATTGGGCGCGTGTTGGAGGGGTTTATTATTGGGTTGTAGGGGGGTTTGGGGAGGGTGTGGGTGTTTTCTTGTTCTTGGGATTCTTGGGGTTCTTGGTGTTGATGTTGTTGGGTTGTGGTTGACATGGTTGCTGTTGTTATTCTTCTTGTTGTTGTATATTGATAAAGTTGTGTGTGTGTGGTGTGCAGTATGTGAAAAAAGCTACGGTGAGGGTTATGGGATGAATTTAGTTAAAAGTAGCCTAGTAGGAGTAGTAGCTAGTAGTAATGCTATATCGGTGTATGTCTTATATGAATGCGCCTACATAAAGCACAAGCACAGGGTCTATGTGGAGACACGTGATGCGGTGTCCACATGATGTCATTTTTGTTGATTCCGTGACTCTTTTCTATGACATTTGCTAATGCGATTATACGGCGTAGGTAGACCATTATCAATCAGTTGTAGTATACGATCTATATCATTGTCAATCTGCTATCTGCCATCAGACAGCTTGTGTGGATATGGGTCATCGCACCTTGTCTGGTTAATGATCCACTGCGATTCAAGTCTCGGCTGGACCAGCTCGTTTGGGATTGTTATAGCGTCTTATCATTGGCCGAGGGGCTATCTTTACCGTCGTATGTAAGTAACTAATACTGGTACGTACTGCATTCCTGGCATCTTTCATCCGCCGTGGGGTCCGTTCATTTGCGGGGTCCAACAATGCATTCTTGTTCATTCATCCTAGTACTTACTTCTTTTCTTCTACCGGGATATTATCATCTCAGTGGTGTGCAGTATAGACATCGCTATACTTAACTTATACTTCGTATTTTGTATCGCTATCATCCATACTAGCGCAATCCCAATCCGGTTAAAACTTGGAGAATTAGAACACCAACCCATGACTCACTCACTCAATTGGTAGAAACTCCAGACAGTGAGTGGATCATCATGGCCTGAGCGGCAAAATCTGCGCTTTTCTTCCTTGCGTAATGCGATTACCGGATCCCTGCGCATCTCCCATACAAAACCTCTCTCCCTGCTGTCTAACTAAATCCTGCTATTAATTCCTGCTGTTTCCCAATTCCTGCGGATCCAATTCCTCTCTCACACAACATACACACCCCCTGTCCTTCCCGTGCAATTGCACGGATGCCTGCAACTGCAGTGATACACACCAGCAGCAGACCAACCAACCTTGCTTCCCCCGTGGAACCCATTTCCGCACCATGGCCCGCCGGAACAGCATACGCGGGATCACAGACGAGGAGTTTCACAGCCGGTATAGATCCAGCTCGCCGCTCGCCCGCACCGCCATTGCCCGTGACATGGAAGACTACGCCGACGACGAAGGGTCCATGCTCACCACCGACGACGAAGCCTCCGAGACCTCCACCATCCGCGCCATTAACAGCCAACCCGGTACGAATCCCCATTCGCTAGCTGGGTCGTACCAGCGGCCCGGGTTCTTCACGACCGTCTCGCATGCCACGGTTGTGCCGCATCGGCCGGATAGCGAGGGGTTGACGCGGCGGGAACGGGAACGGGCAATTGAGGATGAGCGGAATCTGCTCACTGATAATCGTTGCATTGAGCCGGGTGTGCAGAAGGGTGGGCGCATGAGACGGGGAGAGCCCGTGGAAGCGACGGAGACGGCTGCGTTGTTGGGTAGGCAGCGTCGCGGATCGCAGTACGAGACGGTAGAAGATCAGGACGAAATTGATCGGAAGTGGGAGGAGGCGGTTACCGCTGGGTTGATTCAGACGACGTGGAAACGGGAAGCTCAGGTCATTGGGAAGAATGCTGCGCCCTTGGTGGTTACGTTTCTGTTGCAGTATTCGTTGACTGTCGCGAGTATTTTCACGCTCGGGCATCTGGGAAAGAAGGAGCTTGGGGCTGTTAGTTTGGCTAGTATGAGTGCGAGTATTACGGGTTATGCTGGTATGTTCAATTCCCTGGGCGTGTCTTCATTTTGATACTGATTGACTGTATACAGTTTATCAAGGTCTGGCGACGAGTTTGGATACCCTGTGTGCGCAGGCATATGGCTCCGGCAGGAAGAAGCTGGTAGGTCTGCAGATGCAAAAGATGGTCCTCTTCCTCTGGGCCATCTCCATCCCTATTATCGTGCTATGGTTCTTCGCCGACCGGATTCTCATCCGGATCGTGCCAGAAAAAGAGGTCGCCATGCTGGCCGGCTTGTACCTGAAGGTGGTTGCGCTGGGTGCTCCGGGGTACGCTTGCTTCGAAAGTGGCAAGCGGTTCGTGCAGGCGCAGGGACTCTTCTCTGCATCGCTCTATGTTCTTCTCATCTGTGCCCCATTGAATGCAGTGATGAACTACGTATTCGTGTGGCAGTTCGGCTGGGGCTTCATCGGAGCTCCCATCGCCGTAGCCATCACAGACAACCTGATGCCTCTCTTCCTCTTCCTGTACGTGTACTTCATCGACGGCTCCGAATGCTGGAATGGCGTCACCACCCGCGCCCTACGCAATTGGGGGCCCATGATCAAGCTCGCCCTTCCCGGGCTCCTCATGGTCGAAGCCGAATGTCTCGCCTTTGAAGTCCTGACCCTGGCGTCATCGTATCTCGGCACTACCCCATTGGCCGCCCAATCCGTCCTGTCCACCATCTCCAGCATCACCTTCCAAATCCCCTTCCCCGTCTCCATCTCCGGTAGCACCCGCGTCGCCAACCTCATCGGCGCGACGCTCGTCGATGCCGCCAAGCTGTCAGCCAAGGTATCCATGATCGGCGCCGTCATCGTCGGTCTGCTGAATATGCTCCTCCTCTCTTCCCTGCGCTACTACATCCCCTACCTGTTCACCTCGGACGAGGAGGTAATTGAGCTCGTCGCCCAGGTCCTGCCTCTGTGCGCCGCGTTCCAGTTGTTCGATGCATTGGCTGCCAACTGCAATGGTATCCTGCGCGGTATCGGCCGTCAAGAAATCGGCGGCTACGTGCAGCTGTTCTGCTACTACGCCATTGCCATGCCGATTAGTTTCGGCACGACGTTCGGATTGAATTGGGGGTTGTTTGGATTGTGGTCTGGCGTTGCGTTGGCCTTGTTGTTGGTCTCGATCATTGAGGCGTTCTTCTTGACGCAAACGAATTGGCATCGCTCAGTGGAGGATGCGCTGCGGCGGAATGCGATGACTTGATATATACCAGTATGCGATGATGATGTGATGTATTATGATATGAAGTAGTGGAGTTGGATGTACAAGATGATGCCTCAATAAAACCCCTACGTAAATAGTAACAATCCTCAATTCATGCAATATTAAATGCCATAATCACATCAAATTATTTTCACCCACCCACACAAGAAAAAAACCATTAACTTAAAACTCCAAAATCGCCCACGTCTGCTCATCCACCGTCGAAAAGATCACACCCGCAGTGAGCAACTCATCCCCAGCCCTGGCCACATCCGGCATGGGCAAACTCAGCTTCGCCGCAATCAACTGCGCATGCAATCCCTCATTACTCTGCGGCTCCGTCCTCAACAATTGATACACTCTCTTCGCGACAGGACTCATCGGAGGCAGATTCTTCCCTACACTTCCAGCCCCATACTCATCTCCCGTACCTCCCATCGCCGCATCCCCTCCTCCCTTCACTACCCCAGCCCCAGAGGTACCACCCGGCGCCCCCCTCGTAAAGAACAAATGCACAGCACTCGCCTCAAGAAGATGACAATGCACCTCATCAAGACTCTGAACCGGCCGGACGCAATGTGCACCCACAAACCTCTTGTTCCCAAACGACTTCAACTTCCCAAACACCTTCGCGTAGCCATTCAACTCTACTTTCCCGTCCCTTCCGCGGGCAGCTTTGGAATTGGCTGCGTCGTCCGTATCCATAGTGTCAGCTGTCATGGAGTCGATCCATTGCTTCGCCTCGATCTCGCCTGTGCCGTCGTCGATCTTGTATGTGACGTTTGTGCTTTGAGAGCTGATGTTGCGCACTTGTCCGATGAAGCAGATGCTGGAGATTTCGGCTGAGTCGATCTGGTACGGCGCTTCCGGGTATGGTTGGATTGCGTCGAGTGCTTGTTTGATGGTTATTGGGCGGAGGGTTTGGTTGGCGTAGTCGGACTGGATTTTTAATTGGTTTTAGTATGGAATGGGATGGATGAGGTAGTTGGGGGATGGGGGCAATGTACCTTTCCTCCGGATGGGCTGTTGTTCATCTCGCCGGGCATGAAGCCGCCGCCGCCACCGCCGCCGCCGCCGCTGTAGGTGCTGCTGTAATTGTTGTAGCCGCTGTCTGGAGGGGTGGTTAGTTGGGATATGGATATGTGGACGCGTGAGGGGAGGATGGTGCGGAGGGTGGGTGTAAGGGAAAGTAGTATAGCAGAGAGAGGAGGGATGTAGTGTAGGTACGATGTACTCACCCATGGTGTCTATGTGTGCTTCTGAAGTGGTTAAGTGAATAGAGAACTGGATATATCAAGTGAAGATTGATTCACAGGACGCAATGCATTTTACCGCATCGGGACGTGTCCGACGCGTCGCGGGGAGAGAGACAAGTGTTTGCCCTGTTTGTCTCTATTGATCTGTTTGCTCCGGCACAACGTTGATGCGACGATCCTCACCGCCCGGCGGAATTCTCAAAAAAAGTCTCGCCGATAAGTAGTGCATACACACGATAGGTTCCAAGACTCCATCCAGGCTGACCGGACCACTCCTTCAAAATGCCTGGTCGAGCCGCTTCTCCGGCTATGTCGGAGAATGAATTCGACATCACCAATGCGCTGTTCCAAAATGACAGCGACTCCGACAACGAGGCCCCCGCGAAGCAACCCAAGCGCCAACCGAAGGCGGCGGCGCCCGAGCAGCTCGATTTTCTGAACGGCGGCGGCGGCGATGACAACGACGATGAAGACGACGAGGCGTTTATCGCGGAGACGCAGGCGTCGGCGAACCGGAAGGCGTCGAATCTGAAGGGTCGCACGGTGAAGAAGGGTGGTGGTTTCCAGGCTATGGGATTGAATGCGAACTTGTTGAAGGCTATTACGAGGAAGGGTTTCTCCGTGCCCACGCCTATTCAGCGCAAGACGATCCCGGTGATTATGGAGGATCAGGATGTCGTGGGTATGGCGCGCACGGGTTCGGGAAAGACCGCTGCGTTTGTCATTCCCATGATTCAGAAGTTGAAGAGCCATAGTACCCAGGTTGGAGCTCGTGGGTTGATCTTGTCGCCGTCGCGTGAGTTGGCGCTGCAGACGTTGAAGGTTGTGAAGGAGCTGGGGAAGGGCACGGATCTCAAGTCGGTGTTGTTGGTTGGTGGTGATAGTCTGGAGGAACAGTTCTCGATGATGGCTGGTAACCCCGATATCGTGATTGCGACGCCCGGTCGTTTTCTGCACTTGAAGGTCGAAATGCACCTCGATCTGTCCAGTATCCGCTACGTTGTGTTCGATGAGGCCGATCGCCTGTTCGAAATGGGTTTCGCTGCTCAGTTGACTGAAATTCTTCACGGCTTGCCGTCTACTCGTCAGACCCTGCTTTTCTCGGCTACCCTGCCCAAGTCCCTGGTGGAATTCGCGCGCGCTGGTCTGCAGGAGCCTACGCTTGTTCGTTTGGATACTGAGAGCAAGATCTCGCCTGATTTGCAGAATGCGTTCTTCTCGGTCAAGTCCAGTGACAAGGAAGGTGCACTGATGTATATTCTCCACAATGTGATTAAGATGCCCACGGGCCCCACGGAGGCCGCGCAGCGCATGAAGGAAGAGAATGCCAGTGGAAAGGGCGGGAGGTTTTCGAAGAAGCGGAAGCGATCGGACGACAAAGGAATCAACTTTAAAGAGTCGCCCACCAAGCATTCGACGATTATCTTCGCGGCGACCAAGCACCACGTCGACTACTTGTATTCCCTGCTGAAAGAGGCAGGTTTCGCTACTTCCTACGCTTACGGTTCCCTCGACCAGACGGCTCGTAAAATCCAAGTTCATAACTTCCGTACCGGCATTTCCAACATCCTGGTCGTCACTGACGTTGCAGCCAGAGGTATCGATATTCCCATTCTGGCCAACGTCATCAACTACGACTTCCCCTCGCAAGCCAAGATCTTCGTCCACCGTGTCGGTCGTACCGCGCGTGCTGGCCGCACCGGTTGGAGTTACAGTCTGGTCCGCGATTCCGATGCCCCCTACCTGCTCGATCTGCAGCTGTTCCTTGGCCGGCGACTGGTCCTCGGTCGGGAGCATGGCGAAAGTGTCAATTTCGCCGAGGACGTGGTTGTGGGAGGATTTCCCCGCGACGGCCTGTCTCAGAGCTGCGAGTGGGTGACCAAGGTCTTGGATGATACGGTAGATATTGCGGCGCAGCGTTCCGTCGCCAGCAAGGGTGAAAAGCTCTACTTGCGCACACGTAATGCAGCATCACTGGAAAGTGCCAAGCGCTCGAAAGAGGTTGTCTCATCCGACAACTGGACCGCCCTGCACCCTCTGTTCAACGACGAGACCAGTCAACTCGAAGCCGAGCGCGAGAAGATGCTGGCCCGTATCGGAGGCTACCGGCCCAACGAGACCATCTTCGAAGTGAACAACCGCCGCAGCGGCAAGCCCGAGAACGAGGAGGCGCTCCACACAATCAAGCGTGTCCGAACCACGCTCGACTCGAAGAAGAAGCGCGCCCAGGAAGCGAAATCGGAATTCGACGACGACGATGTGCCCACCAAGTCCGGAGACGCCGACGCCGAAGACGCTGACGGCGCCTTCTCTGACGAAGACGAAGCCGGCGAAGGTGCTGCCGACAACATGTCACTCGCCTCGGAAACCGACCTCGAAGTCACCTTCTCCTCCTACAACCAGCCCAGCAACAAAAAGGCCAAGAAAGACGCCAGCGCCACCTCCTTCCAGAACCCCGAATACTTCATGTCCTACACCCCTAACAACACCAACATGGCCGAAGACCGCGCGTACGGCGTGCACTCCGGCACCAACGCCAACTTCGCACAAGCATCCCGCGACGCAGCCATGGATCTGCTCGGCGACGAAGGCAGCCGCGGGTTCGGCGAGCCTCGCACCATGATGCGCTGGGACAAGCGTCACAAGAAGTACGTGTCGCGACAGAACGACGAGGACGGATCGAAGGGTACTCGTCTGGTGCGTGGTGAGAGTGGTGCCAAGATCGCTGCCAGCTTCCGCAGTGGACGCTTTGACGCGTGGAAGAAGGGTAAGCGACTCACTCGTCTGCCGCGTGTGGGTGAGGCCGAGACACCGGGTCTCGGAGCGGATCTTAACCATTACCGCGGTGGTAGACGCTTCAAGCATAACAAGGAGCAGGCGCCGAAGCGGGCTGATCCGCTCCGTGGAGATTATGATAAGATGAAGAAGAAGAACGAGGCGGCGAAGGAGCGCCAGTTGGGCAAGTTTGGAGGGGCCGCAGCGGGTGGTAAGAGTGAGCTGAAGAATACGGATGATATCCGGTTAGCTAGGAATCTGAAGCAGAAGAGACGCGAGAAGAATGCTCGGCCGTCGAGGAAGAAGTAGGTGACTTGAGGTTTGTGGTTTGTGTGCTAGGTTTTGCATATGTAGATACCATATTAGATAAAAGTGATAATTATACCAGGAGTCTGAATATACTGGCATGATGTGATGTAGACTTAGACACCGATTTTGGAGCATCCTAGCACTCCGGTCTCCTCATCCCATCTTTCGTCTTTCTTTCCCTCCTGTCTTGATGGTTTCGTCTGATATACTCCTGGGTTCCCCACCCCTATGCATCCCGGCACTCCCATATCTTCATCCCATCTATCATCTTCTTCCTCTTTCTCTTCCTGTCCCGCTTCTTTCTCCTGATACTTCCCTATACTCCCAACGCCAACACACCCCATCACCCCTGTCTGCTCATCCCACCTCTCCTCGTCTTCCTTGTCCTCTCTCTCTCCCGGTTTCCCTTGTTCCTGAGCACCCCTCATACTCTGACCCCCAATACCAACACACCCCAACACCCCCTCCTCCTCATCCACCCTCTCTTCCTTCTTCATCATATCCTCCTCTTTCTTCCTCCTAATAACCTCCTCATACTCCCCAATATCCCTCACCCCCTCGGGCATCCCATTAACTCCCAACCCCTGCTCCCGCATCAACTTCTCCCTCAACACCATCGCCCTCTTCCACGACTCCCTCCCCTCCATCCGTTCCTGCCACGCCTTGACCCACGGATACGGGCCCAGAATATCATGATCATCATCAGACGGAATCAACATCCCCAACTGACAATTCCACGGCAGGAAAGCCAAATCCACATAAGTGCATTTCTCGCCCACTAGCCACGTTTTCCCCGTAAGGATGGTGTTGAGCACTGATAGAATACGGTGCACTTCGGTCTGGTAGCGAGTTATGGCGGTGGGGAGTTTTTCGGGGGAGAGGGTGGAGAACCTGTACACAATTAACAACGCATTTATTAGGGTATGAAAATGGGTGATTGTGGGGAAAGAGGGGGTGGGTGTACCATCCACATTGCCCATAATATGGTCCTTGTCCACTCATTTGGAATTGGAGATATTGGTTTAGAAGATGTTTCTCGGGGATGTTGGTTGGTGGGAAGGAGAGTTTGTGGGTGGGGTCGTAGCGGTCGATTAGGTATTGAATTATGGCGCCGGATTCCCAGAGGGTGAAGGGGTGGTTAGGATTAGTGGGGGAGGGGGTGTTGGGGTCTTGGATTGCTGTATATATATTAGTTATTTGGTTAGTTAAATCTATACTATCGTGGTGTTGTGGTACTTGGTGGTTGCCGTGAGGGGGATATAGTGTGGGTAATAGTGAGGGGACGATGGATGGAACATACCCGGTACACGGCCATTGGGGTTAATGTTAATGAATGGGGGTCTCTTGACGTCTTCGAAGCCGAAGGAGTTGATTTTGTAGGGGATGTTGAGTTCTTCCAGGATGACGATGACCTAATAGTACCCTATTAGTTAGGGAATGGTATGTGTTTGGTGGTGTGGGGGACTGACCTTCCATGGATTGGGACCGGAAGCTATACATAAGAAAAAGAATCATATTGTTAGTATATCAGGGTAGTAGATAATATTGGTGGATGGAACGTACGGGTTATCCAGACGGTAATGGGCTTCATGTTCGTCATGGTGAGAGTCTCAGTGGTAGTGAGTGTAGAATATGTGTAGTTAGTATGAGGGGAAAAGAAAAAAGCAGGGAGTAGACAGCTTTATGTACATTCGCTGACTCTGACATGATGAGGCTGTAGCCTGATGATCGAAGGATGATTAGCGTGTGGCTGAGTATACTAGTAGTATTTACTAAAAGAGGAATGGGGTGAGCTGACTGTGTTTGGGGGCCGTTTCTTGATTGTCGGGAGACTGTCAGATGATTACTATATCATCTCGTATATATACTCGATCATAAGTGTAAAGATTGGAAAAGTGGAGTGATTGATTGCGATGCTACAATTAATTATCGTAAACAACTAAAACAACAGCATAATAACTGCAAAAATAAACACATCTAATCATGCAATCCCACCATCTCCAACGAATCTCTCCACAACCGCTCCTCTCCCTCCGGCCAATACGTATAACTCACAATCGACCTCCCAACATGCCCATCATACTCTCCATCCTCTGCCTCCGCACAATCAGCCAGATACTTCCCCCCTTTACCCTCCCACTCTCTCCCCACAGCAGCCCACAGTGTAGTGGCAGCACCCTGCTCCGTACTCTTCGCAACCCTACCCACCGTCTCATCAGTCAACAACGCCTGAATCTGCTCCTCCGAAAGATACCTCCCCAACCCAGTAGCAATAATCCCAGGATGCAAACTCAACCCATGTAGCCCCTGCCCTCCATACAGCCGCTCGATCTCACTCGCCGTATAGATATTCGCCGTCTTGGACTGTCCGTATGCAACCAACGGATCATATCCCCCCTTCTGGAAATGATAATTATCCGCTTCGTTAATCCCATGCACACGATGTCCTGAACTCGAGACTAGAACTACCCGTGAATGGAACTCGGGAGTACTCCCCGCCAGCAGGGCCGGCTTGAGCAGATTGAACAGAAGGAAGTGGGCGAGGTGGTTCGTTGCGAACTGCATCTCGTATCCATCCTCTGTGAGCTGAAGGTCCGGCACAGCCATGACCCCCGCGTTGCCGATGAGGATGTTCACTTTATTTGTCTTGGACAGGATGAGCTTTGCGGCCAGTCGCACGCTGGCTAGCGAGGCTTGATCCATCTGCACCAGCTCCATGGTCTCCGGCTGGAAGATGTCGCCTAGGGCTGTGCGCGCTTTGGTCAGGTCCCGGGCTGTTAGGTACAGCGTTGCGCCGGTGGCAGCGAGGGCGCGGACAGTCTCGACTCCTAGGCCGGAGGAGACACCCGTCACGACGGCGACTTTGCCTTTGAGTTGATCTTGCATGTTGCTGTCTTGGACGATTTGAAGGGCTGTGGGTCGGGCATCACCCGGGCCCTTGGGGGTGGCGTGGACGGCAGAGTAAGACATTTTGGATGATATGAGAAGATGAGGGTGCAATGAATGTTTGATGATAATACTGCATTTTGATTGAGAACAACAGCATATTTATATCGTTTTCTGCAGGTTGACAATAATGCAGAAAGAGAAATCTACATCAATCCAGGCAGAAGTAATGGCTGACATTATTGCCTATTTAGGTTAGCTCGACGGGGTCATCATCTGGCTTCATCTTCCTTTGACTTCATGGCTGACCGTTATTGCCTTTTTGGATCTAGTCGGCTCGTGATATATACAAAGAGAGAAGATCCAGGAGCATCTACAGACTTCTTGGATATTGGAAATCCCTCACCAGCTGACAAATTTACCTATCTCGACAATGCCGTCATGTACACCCGCAGACGAGAAACGGCAGCGCAAGAAGCTCCAGAACCGAGTAAACCAGCGAGCGCGTCGTGAGTATTCCTCAATCCAATACAATACATCAAACTAACAATCCCCTTCAGGTCTGCGCCTCAAAAGCAACCACCAGCAACACAAGGACCAACCCACCCGTCCATATAGCGTCCACCGCTGGCGAGTCTCAGAACACGAGGCATCATCACCATCAACCTCACTAACCGAATACCACTCACACACCCTCCCCCAAACACAATCACAAACACCCATTGAACCCTCCATACCCACCTCCTCATTCACCACAAGTATCCCCCCGGACCACCTCCTCCACCTAATAACCCACAACGTCTTCCGCGCCCTCTACACCAACAAAACCCTCCTCTACAACCACTCCACAGCCCTCCTGCCCGGCCCAACCCCCAACTCATCCATCCACCTCATCCACGAAGGCCTCATCTTCCCCATTTACGCCACCACCATCCCCAACACCTGTCCCTCTCCTATCCCCGCATCCCTCTTCCCCACACCCTCCCAACGAACCCTCACCCACTACTCGTGGATAGATCTCGTGCCGTGGCCGCGGATGCGCGAGAATCTGATTCGGTGGGAGATGTGCTTTGATCATGGGGAGTTCGTGAAGGATTTGGTGGGGGGGTATGTTATGGAGGGGTGGGAGTTGTTTGATGGTTTGAAGGGGCAGGATGTAAATGGGAGGATTGGAGGAAGGGTGGTGGTTGAGGTTGATGATGATGATGGTGAGGTTACGGGAAATGCGAGGAATGGGTGGATTGTTTGGGGTGAGCCGCATTGTAAGGAGAGTTGGGAGGTGACGCCGGGGTTTTTGAGGAAGTGGGGGTGGGTGGTTGAGGGGTGTGTGGAGGAGGTGGTGAGGTGGAGTAATTATTGGAGGGTCGGGAGGGGGGAGGGGGAGATTAGGGTTGTTTCTACTTAGTTTGTGGTGGTGGTGGTGGTGGTTGGGTGTAGGAGGTATATTGATATTGGTTGTGGAGTGTATTAGGGATGAGGGTATAGTTGTAGTGGAGTGTATAGTGAAGTGGTAGGTATACTTGGAGTATTAGGGTATATCATTGAGTGTATATCAATGGCATATTATGTGTTCATAGTATGCCTATAACATAAGTCAATTAGGTACTAGTCTACTGAGAAAGGTAATTAATGTACTAGACCAATGGGATTGATAACTCCTAGTCAACACCTCATACCTCCTAGTAAGTCTACGCTCTAGCTGAAAGACTAGTAGTCGAGTGATGCTAACCAAGCCCTGAGGGATACCCAATATCAGAAAGATATATCATGAGTAAAGCATGAATCAACGGGAATGCCAGTAGAATAACCCCCACCAACAAAGACAGATATTTGGCTTGGATACGCTGGTAGGGAGTGCAGACCAACGTAGAACAAACACTGTATCTGATGATTATTGGTTTACGCCTGACACTGGAATTGAAGTATCTATCTAGAAAGCTTTCGATGATCAACTATACTGGGCTGATTGAGCATCTGTGGCATAATACTACTGGGGAGTACATCACAATGGGCTCTCTTGCTAGTAGTGCAGCTCACAACTGGGCTCAGTCAGTGCGTTGAACTAGCAGAGGTAACCCGCACTGTTATATTTCAGTAGGTGGTCATTGCGAAACAGACTGGTGTTATGAAAGAGTCAATTGACTTGGCATAATAATAGTGAGTCCAGGTATGATGATCTCTATCGATTGACATATCTGCTGACAGACTATACTAAGTTGGCAGATACACAGCTAGTACTTCAGCAGTATCAGTGCAGATCAGTCGCAATTACAATGGGCTGATGTCGAAGCCTCATATCAGGCCGTTATAGAACAGCCATACTCACTGGCCGTCTGTTGATGATCTACCCTGCTTCAGACGGAGTATTCACCCCGTAGCAGGGCACGGGCCAGGGAGATAGGGAGCTTTTAAGTGCCGTCTGATATGCAGACATGGAAGGATTTACCTCCGTTGTCAATAATTGACTGCCCCTTCCATCGCTGGTGGAGCGAGCAATGGCGCTCTTCACGGACCGTTCCGATAAGGGATCGCTTTGACTGACCCAAAGGAGAAAAAGTTGAAATAGCGTTTAGGAAGCGGAATGCCCAAAGTTAAAGGAGCGGACACTTTGAAGTCAGACTGGGTAACTCACAATAATACTCGTCATATCCTCACCGACACTCTGCTGAATTTGCCATTATCGGACGTGCTCAACATCAACGCCCCATGCAGATGACTGGTCACTCCGTAACGCAGCACAGGCTGCCCGCCTCAACGTCCGTCATGCAGCCATGTCGCTCGCAAAATCTGGCCTCCCGGTAGACTGGATAAGTGCCACTGCCAAGGCTGAAGTCAACGCGGTCACCGTGTATCGCTCCGTCAAAGATTGTCAAAGTTTTCCTACGCAACTGCTGACTCGCGCAGACAATCACGTCCGTCCAGCTCGCAGTTTTCGATAGTGAGGTGCCGCTCCTAGCTGGCGTACTTCATACGCAGCACTAACTTGCCCTCACTGGGGCTGTCACGGGGCGCGTAGCGACAGCACGTTCCACAGCAGCCACACTGAGCGCATGAGATACCATGTACAGCCGCCATGATGATGCATTCATACTCGCCACGTCGATATCGTTGGGAGGACTTAACCCGTTGGCATGCTCGAGATCACGCAACCCACCGTGCCAGCAACGAGGCTAGACTGATTGGTTCTCTTCTCCGAAGCATCGTAAGCCGGGACCAAGAGAAGTACATGGTCATTCCGAAGTCGTGTCGCTGCAATCCGCGTTACGGTGGCTCTTTCACTCGGTCCGCTCAAAGCGCCGTCAACACGTACGGAGTACGCACTCCCGACGCCCAATACCTCGGTGAAGAGCGAGTGTCCATCGAATGGCGGATCGTATTGTCTGGCTCGACTAGATCTTGCGTCAGTTGTTTATGTACGTTGTTATCGTTGGCAATGTGGCAATCCCCCCTTACCTTTTTTTTCCAAAATCTTGAATTGGTCGTAGATTATACCACACGCAAGCTGTGTGAAGCGCAGAAAAAGTGATCGCCGTGATCTGAGGATTCTTCACAGCGATACGGGTATTCAGATTGAACTATCACGCAACACTGCTGTGCTGTTACCATATCCGCGCGCCTAGACGGAGATCGAATAAAATCCAAGAGATGTACAATGTAGCCCAATCCCAAGGAATGGAACAGAAAAGATACGTATCACGATGTCCCATGACTCGGGTCGGGTTGGCAAGAAGCAGTTATATCCGAGGCGTTGCAGAGACAACTCTAGGCGTCTGCTGTGATCATTGCCCCTCGTGTCGCTCTGCGCAAACCAAGCATGGCTAGGGCCCTCTCGGGAAGACCCTTCTCGGAAAATTAATTCATATCCTTGTGTAGCCCGGACACGTACTAGCAGTTGTTGTGTGAGGTCGGATGTGCAACCAGACTGATCGCCATATGAAGCGATGGTCAACACCGGTGATTTTTGGATTAGCTTTTCCGTGTCTGAGCTTCTCGGCTTTCCTTCTCCGCTCTAGTCTCTGGTTTAGTGTGTGTTCCGTCCGTTGATGTCTTAAGATGATCCGCCATGAGTCAGGCGGTCACATCGAAGTGGGTGACCAGAGAGTAGAAGGCATTTTCAGCCGAGTTGTCTGAGCAAATGAGGACTGCAGTCGGATACAGGTCCAGCATCAACTCCCGCTCAACTCCAGCATCGATATAGATAGATCGATAGCGGGCGTGATAAGTATCTAGCTATCATTAGAGCCGAGTTAGTATCGGTGCGGCGTCAGTAGTCCGAGCGATAGTCTGTTTGAGCCTCGAGCAGATGACAAATAATGGACGCCAATCGTTGCCTCGTCAGGCACTGCGTGTTTCCCAATAGGGTTGGTGTGGCCTCGGCCAAGCTAAGCCCCAATGGGGAAATGGCAGATCTGCTTCCTTCGCTGTTTTCAGCTCAACACTAACACTCAAGTCTACTAGCAATTGGAACAATCCCATTGCGTGGAGACTCTCCCATCGTAATCTCGTACGGGTGGGTGAAAGCCCGAGCATTCGCCAGTATTACCTCTCCGGGGGAACGCGGGGATCGTGATTATAGTGGCAGACTAAGCTATCTCTCCGTACGCGTCCAGCCTGCATGGTGCATGGTGCATCATCCTTCATGGCTTTGCCCCTTGCCCCATTGAGTCTAAGGATGGGGACGCGGTCGCTTGAACTATTGGCAGTCATCGGCCCCTAATGAGCAGATCCATCGTGCTGGCAGCTTCCCTTCCAGCGAGAAACAGCCAGAACCGAACCGCCCGTCTGTCCTAGCGCGTAATTTCAGTGGATTAGGATAGTTAGGCTGTACAATCAAATCCCTTGCGGGCATCCCGCATACTAAAAAGTATGTGCCATTACTGCCAACCAACTGCCATAGCCGCCCCCGATCAATGCGTCTGTGCTATGTCTTTTTGCTGAGGACGGAGGATGGATTAGGGGGATCATCTCTCATCTAAAATGATTTCCGGTCCCAATTTTTGTCTCCGAGCTCGGATTGATCCATGATGGAGCTTGGGAGGGGCTAGGGACGGTGCTGTCATATGGTAGCCCAAAACGTTAACCTGAGAAATTCCCCGCAAGTGGCTCCCGTGGACCGGCCCCAAAATTGTATCGTGACTCGGTATTAAAAAGGTCTCCAGATAACATTCCCGCTGGGTCAGTCCAGGCCAACCCAAAGGAGTAATTGCAACAATTAGACCTGAAGAAAAAGGGGGCGGCAACCAGACAAGAGAAGGGAAAGAAAAAGGAAAGCAAATGAAAATCCCATTGTGGGTGATACACCAGCCTGCTAACGCTTCATGGCATATGCCATGGGGGAAAACCGTTGTCGAAAAAAGCCATCCAAAGTGGTTCCTCTTGCTTCGCCCACGCGCCTTGTTCCGTGTTCTGTGCTCGGCGAATCCAGGTGGATCTTTCCGTTCATCCCAAGGGTCAGATCATCCGAGGGGGCCATTCAACCTTTTTTGCCCATCACCGACACTGGGGCCCCCCTGCAAAATTTCCGGCGCTCAGGTGATTGAACCATTGAGGTACACGGTCGTTCCACGGGCCAGGGCGCTGTTGCTGCAGCCACATCTTGTTTGGAAGCAAGCATCACCGTGGTTTATTCGCATGTCCCGGACAATAAGGACGCGTTGGATGAGAGCTCGACATTGTGGCTGGACATTGTGTGTGGGATCTGCCTCCCCCTGTTCGTGCTTCTCACCACCATGCAGTGTAGTCTAGACCGACGCTTCCGCGCTCTAGTATGCTTGAAGTGACAGCCTAATGGCAAGAGCGGTTAGAGCATTCTTGCATCCCAACGCGGACTTTCTACTTCTCAGCCACCAATGCCGGTGTTTATCACGCTTAACCAATTTTTATGTTGGAACTGAATCATGATCAACCATAGGTTTGCCGGGGTTTGGCCTGCAGGGCCCCAAGAGCCGACCGGCCGAATCCATCCAGTCCGGCGCTGGCATAATGTGGCACATACATTCCTGAACTGGCACACACCCGTTAATCCACTCCGTATTAACGCTGCGTGGGTGGGACCCAGCATAACCTATTGCAGAAACCACACGGAGAATTGCGGGCTCTCAGTCCAGTGGTTCGGGCTATTGAGCTGGCGTCTATTCATTGAAGCCCCAACATGTAGCACAATCCTACTGTCCAACCCCGATTAAGGAGCTTGGAACCCCCCAAGGAGGCTCCCTCAGAGGCCTCGCGAGGCATTACATTGGTCATGTCTTCATAGCGTTCTTCATCCCTTGCACGGCACGCGAACGGTCAGCCATGTGAGTGACAACACGTCGATTTGATATCAGCTATGCACCTCGCAGGCGTACTCGAGCCCTAGCAAAAGAAACATGGCGTCCGATGACCGGGACTAGACTCCAGTGCCGGCTGCAGTGCGGCTATTTTATCGTTGTCCTGTTGGCCCTGGAAGGGAATGGGGTTGCCTTGAAGCGCGATTTCCGGCACACGCCTGACCGGAGTATATACCAACCTTGATCTCAGGAGGGGAAGAGAACGACGTAAGCAGGTGAATAAAAGCAGATAAACCGATATTATTGGTGCATATTGGCCCCCAATTATGAGACGCGCATCCCAAAAATACAGTATGAGGGGAAGCAGAATAATACTAGAGGAGACTTGCAAGAGGAGGAAGTGGGGGAAAAGAAAGCAGGCAAAGTGAGAAACATCATCACTGGAGAGATTCCGAGATGACCACGTTCTTTTCTCTCTTTTAAACCCAGTTCATACTCCAAATTTTCAGTTGGGATCTAAACACACAGTGACTGTTGGATCTTGGTTCTTCCTTTCCTGGAAGAAGAGGGAAAGGGGAGAAGAGAAGGAAGACGACCGCCCCCCTCTCCAACGAAAAAGAAAAGAATCAAGACTACGGAATACTGCTACTTACTAGGTAGCGTAAAACCACCCCCATCAAGCCAAACAGTATGGAAAGACCGAGACTTGGGCGCTCTCACCAGTCTAGCAGGATCAGGACATCATCCATTCTCCTTAGTCTTATCCTGAATCACGGGGGGTGAGGGGGGAGGAGGGTGGGATGGGTACACAGGGAAAATACACAGAGAAATACACACACCGTCACCTTTTGGGTTTTACCCGCCCAATGCAATTGATGAACAA